ACATGTGGCTGGTACTTCATGGAGAACTGAACATGCAAGAGCAGATGCTTTGAAATGACCTACACATGTACAATAAATATTAATAAATGAAGCCTTTTTGTATATTTTTATAAAATATCATGTTTTCTACATGAAAACCACAAGGGGCAGTATATCAAGCACAAAATGATTTTACTGCTAATTAGAAATGACAGTCATCAATACTGTGTCGTGTTCTGTGCAAGTCTCGCATGAATTTGAATCTATTCGTTTATTTACACAAAATCTAAACGCGGTCTATGTGTCATTTCACAACAATTGTGACACTTAAATAATTCTCAGATTGTCATAATATTCATATTTTTATTTATTTATGAAGAGTGATATCAAAACGTGATTGAAAGCTACATTTATAACCATCTATGCATATTACATTAGACCTGAAATAATGGAATAATTATCAACACCAAACATACAAATTAAGCAAGGTCATTTCCTGAGTGAATTGATTTCACCAAATCATTGACTGAGTTTTCAATCTGTAAATTTCTACACATGTTCGTGGTCTCGACACAGTCACCCCAAATTAACTGTAACAACGTTTGACTAGAAATAGTTATATCCTTGAAATATGTTACAATTTCCTTGATGTGTCCATTACACATAGGGTGCCAAGCACCTCTGACAAACACCCGGCTAATGCAAAGAGGAATTCAAATTTCTTGTCGTGGATTGAAGAGGAAATTGCCTGTATATTGCTATTGATGCTGTCTTTTCATTGTGGATTTTTACAAGAGAACTGGCGTCAATAAGATTCTCTATTACATCAACTTTAGTTAATTTGCCTGTGATAATGCCAATTTTTCTCCCATTCTCTGTAGTTCTGTCTCTAGCGTGATGGGTAATTCCAAAATTGAATACCGATTCCTAGTCTTCAATATGTTTATTATTACTATGCTTTGAACGGAGGGTATTATTCAATTTCCATATTTTAATGACGGTCTCTGCTCAGCACACAAATGAAAAAACTTTTGAATGAAGTACTCCAAAGTGTTGCCATAGTTACATAATATGGTTGGTTATTTGAGCATACCATAAAAAATACTTTCGATTAATAAGTAAATGTGGATGAAAGATGAGGATGTGATATCAAGATATTTTCTGTGATTTGTAATTTGGTGGCAATTATTCCACCTGTTTGGTGTTCAGGACTTGATATTTCTTCCCAGTGTGTCTCACACAGTAAAAATTTTATCAAGATTTTCATTCTATCAACATTTCAGTGCAACATTCTGTATATTTTTCTGTAGTTTTCTGTAATCTTTGTTGCACCAAATGCATATAATTTCTGATACCTCCAATGATCAAAATTGTTAAAAAATTGTTTTTTAGAATTTTAAATAAATTTAATGCAATTCTAGAGACTCTGAGGCCACAAAAGGCCTTTTTGATTCCCTACAACCGTAAAAAATGTTTTCTTCACAATTTCCATTAGTCTTATGGTTTCCATTGTATCAATATTTATATCAATTATTCTGAAACACTCAGTGTAATGTATTAAATTAAACATAACTTTTTAATTCAAAATGGTACTCTCATATTTGAATTGTGACAATCTACTAAAAGATCTGGAAGAAATGTGTGATAGTCAGTTTAAAAAAAATCCCAGATACAAGTCTTATACCACAAATTTTCTAGTACAGAATGTAAATTTCAAGTTTAAAAAAAAATTACTACTATATAATAAAATACTGCTAGTTAATGTCCATGTTCAGACTAGGTAAAAACAAAACTGAGAACGTTGTCTCTATTTGTGGCTTCATTTTAGAGGAGCATTGACCAATTTGAATCTATCTTGTTGATTCAAATAAAAGATGTCCATCTCTTAGCCATTTTGTTTTATAAAAATGCACACACTTGATGCCTGCGAGTCAAAATGCAAAGGAGCACTAGCTGCATGTAACAGGGACTATGTCATCAACAGTGGTGTGTTAGATATACATTAAGAATAATTTTAGAGAGCAATAATACAAGCAAATATTTCAGCTATGTGATTTTTAGTTCTAAGAACTATCCTATATTTGAAAGTGGTCTGTCTGTGTCATACATCATTTTCAGTTGATGTAATATGTTTATTTAATAATCCATATTTTATATTAAAAAAAAATAGATACGTAAGAAATTTATCAATTGTATACAATATTTGTTTAGAATGCAATCATGCCAGCAATACAAGTAGTCAGTATATTTCATTGTATACATGTATATACTTTGCCGATCAGTACACTCAGACTTCTTGTATTAGTGGAAATTTGATTGTGCAATCTTTCATTATTTAGGAGGTTTTAATATAGAAATACAAATATTTCCGTAAAGCGTCAAATCATGGGAAGTCTGGTGTATACTATTCCAATCATGAAAACCATGTTGTTGTTTTATCCCTGCCATTAGAGCATAATATATTCAATAAGGGTCAAGGGTTAATAAGTGTTGTAGGCCATCTTTCAAGTTACACCTCCAACTCATTTCATGTTATTTGCTGGCTGTAAATGTAATAATGGAGAAGTGAATTAAATTTGACAAGTTGTTTTATAACTTGTGTAAAACTATACGTCCCCGAGGGTTGCTTGCATTATTGCCATTACTTTCCAATTTGACCCCGGTGACTGGCGAATCACCCAAAATGCCCATCAATTTATCAACGGTGGAATGGCTACCTGACAGGGAAAATCCGGTGCCCTGTACCGGGAACATCTGATTTTGATGGATTGGACAATGAAATTTGATGTAAAATTAAGACTGTTATTAGACTTGGCGGTATCATTTGTCATCGTGTATTATGGATTGCCATGAAGTGAAAAATAACCATCAATTGAAAAGCTACATGTTATTTATGGCAATCATAATGGTCAGCACTTCCTGGCAGTTGATTGTGTTAAAATCGGTGTATTTACCAATGTGCTACACTTCGCAAAGTGCCAGTTATCAATAAAATATAACATATGGGCTGTGAAATTTTATGAGTAATAAAACTGTCATTTATTAAGAATTGAACAGGCTATATTCGCTAGTTTTATCATTAATAAAGGTTTCAAAATTGATAGTTTGATTTTTATGGCATTTTATTAGCGTTTCCATGGATATCTGAATGTCTTACTTGTCAAGTTGACACTAAGTTAATTTTAAAGTCACAGGCACAAAATGAAAAAAAATGTCTTCATAATGTGTAAATTTATTTTTTATGAAAAATTGCTGCTAAATTAATGGAATATTTCAAATGGTTAATATTTTGCAGATGTATTTTAATGGCTGTTTATTATAATCGCAAAAATGTACTCAAAATTTCATGGTGCCTATTAATTATGTAAATAATTTCTATGTTTGTTTGGAAAGTTACAGATTTATTTATATTGTGGTTTAAAATTAACTTATACTAACCATCTAGTTTTTAATAACAATTTGTTATTATTGTTTTGGGGAAAAATTGCTTATAATTTATTATTCAAATTAAAGATCCATCCAGCCACTTTACATAATTTTCAGATATTGAATATCTAAGTGAATGTGGCAACACCAAATACATATTTTAGTACTAAATTTGGCGGGAAAGTAGTTCCAGTTGGCCTTTTTCCTACACTTACCGATCAATGTAGCAAGAATATAAGCTGGATATTTTCTGAATTACCATCAGGTATTGGTACAGTTATTAGTTTACCAAAACTAATTAAACTGATAATTATTTCCACAATCCATGCATACCAAATCAATAAAGGACAATATGTTTTTTAGGTAACATTTCTATAGCAGATGATTCAATATTTTTTTCCTTTCTTTCATTCTGAATAACGTGCATATAAACATTTATGAGACTGCTATAGAATTCAACGATTTCTTATTTTAGGTCGAGATGTGTTTTAAAGCAGACCATGCTTCAGTGATCAGGTGCGATGTATTCAAGCAATGTTATTAGCATTTTATTGTTGATATGCTAATAAATAAAAAGAGCATTACCTGAATGGCTCTCATTTAATACATCGTAGCAGTGAATGATCCAGATGTTGACATATTGCTTTTGTGAAATCTGCCATTTCTTGCAATTACACCATCTTTTTAAGGCAGTCAATACTTTTTGAATATGAAGTTTAATATGAAATATTCATAAAAACAGGCATGGTTCTTTTTTTTATTTTTCAAATAAATTTTGTTTTTTTATTTCTTAAATTGGAGTTGTTACACGGAAATAATACCGATATTAAATCTGGTTCGTCCAGTGAAGTTTTATTTGTTTCAACTCCCCTGAGTGATGCTTGATTAAAAATATTAATGTAAGATGAGAATACGAGTAATTTTTCTCTGATAAAAAGAAATTGTGATGTAATATATGTAACCAGGTCAAATTATTGTTGTGACATTCGCAATCTTCCATCATGGAAGTGGCGGACTCCATGGACATCTGTAATTGAGACATTCTTTAATGTGTAATATTCATGATATTTCTACTATATTATTAAATATACTCTAATAAGAAACTACCAAAACATACAATTTTTATAAATTATAATGCTTAAGTAATTTGATACATGGATATATTTAACCTCTTTGACGATAAAAAACGTTGAAACGTTTCAAATATTTGTTCACACGTGCATTAATAAGTCATAATATGATCTGCTCTGTGTACAATTCCAACAAAAGTTACTCTGGTCGGCCATTAATTCTCGTATATTTGTAAAAAAAAATGGAAGATAATTTTTTACTAAAATATCATTGAAAAAAAAGCATCTTTTTATCCTATTTCTATAAAATGTTGGAATCATGTTTAATACATGAATACTAAGTTCACTTGTGTATTTATTTGTGTAGGATATCAGCTTATATGTACAGTGATTCTAATTCCATTATATTCAACATATTTTCCATGAACACAATTATCATTTTTATTACTCACTTATATTCAATTGGTCAAAATGTCTTTACTGTGAAAACATGAAGATCCGACATTTTTGTTTTTATTTTTTTAGGGAGAAGACAACTCTACTTTTGGTCTAAGTATGAGTAATGTACAACAAAATAATACAATCACGCCAAATCCTGTAATGCAACATGAGGTAAGTTCGTAATTAAAAAAAAAAAATTTAAAAAGTAACATTTACTTTTTCGAAATTCATTATCTGATTGATTGCTTATGATCCATTTTTTTAAACTTTAAAATGTCTTCTCTGACATTCCTTTTCCCCATTATGTAATGTGCGAAAAAGTGCAAAAGCATTCTAAAATCACAGAAGTTCATATTCAAGTTTCTGAGAATCAAATACTCGCTTGATTTGATAATGATTTCACCACCATCTTTTGAGCAATGTTAGTAACATAGTCTCAATTAGCATTAAAATGTCGGCCACCTGATATTGATTGACCAATCTCCATTCAAATTAACGCTATGCATCTTGGGAGTAAATCAAATTACTTAATTACAAATTACAAAAATGCTACAACTTTAGAGAATAAATAAATAATGGTCATGTTAAAATACAATGCCATCTTGAATCAGTTGAATAACAGTTTTAATGAAAACAGGATATGACATCACCAGTTAATTAAGAGGATATGACATCATGAAATGTCAAGGCAACTGAAGTATGTGAAAAATAATATTCAAATTGCAAAAAAAAATTTATAGTTCATATGAGTGATGGTATTTATATTTGAGTATATATATTATTTGTTATTATCGTTGTCATGATTGTTATACAGGAAGTGTTCATAAAGGAAAAAAATTGTGGCTGTACACATCAAGCAAACTGACCTTTATGGGTGCTATTTATTATAGACAATTTGCATGTGATTTCCATGCCAAGGTTATTGTCAGTACAAACAGATGAGTCACAAAATTGAAGGAAATTGGATAAAATGTGTATTGATGATGGTGATGATAACACCGACTTATTCAGTTAATGATGAAATGAGCGTTTCCATGGTCACAAATGATGTTGCTGGTTCCTACGACGATTAAGTTTGATATCAACAAATTATTGCCTCAGATACTTTCAGCAATCATCGGCAATGATAAAAAAATAATAATAAAGAGTAGGATTTAGAGAGTGTCACGTCGGGAATTGTGGTCTAACAGCTGTTATGCCACGCTAAGCTTATTTTACCTTACCAAGAATGCAACTTATGGCAGTTGTCTTGTCATATGTTGCTATAGCAACCTACATATCCCCTCTTACATAATAGACCTGGAAAATCTTTGGTTTTAAATTATGGAAGTTGAAAAAACTAAAGAAATCAAATTTGCAAAGAAAATGCAAGTTTGCAGTTGGTCTCTAAACAGATTGACATTCTCATGTGAATGAAAAACTCGTCCCCCCCCCCTCATAATATTTGAATTAACAAGAAAAAAGGACCTATATAATACGACAAAATACAGATTAAAAAAAAAGCCCCTGTATTTTAATAATATGCAAATTAACACCCAAAAAATGAGCCTAGTATTGGAAGGCATGGAAATTAACACAACCACCAATAATCCTTGAACTTGGAAAATATTCAGCATGGCCTTTCAGATATTAAATATTGAACATTAAAAATAAAATTAGAAGGAATCCTAACAATTTACAGTTTGCAGACTGAGGTTATGGCAGACCCAATTAGGAGAGGCAAACCACTCTGCCGTCTTTGATTATATTAGCATTGTGTATATTTTGGATTCAAGGATAACAACTGAAGATCCTTTTAGGAAACAACTGCCCCAAGTAAAAAAAATCTGTTATAAAGGAAATGAACTGACAGCCAGAGGGTAAAGTAAGAGGAGGGAAACCAAGACAGCGAATTGGGGAATGCATTCATCTTGCTTTCCAATTTAATCACGTTAAAAGGATAAAAATGAGAGGAGGAAAAAAAACACCATCAATTTCTATTTTTTTTTAAGGTTTCTTTATGCTTAGAAATTGAATGGCATATTTGATAAACAGAAAAATTTCAGTTTTAGAGTAGTGAAATGAACGCATTCTAATTTGATTCGTCTTTGATGACATTCATTAAATGAGTTCTTCTCTTGTTTACAAAGATAAATAGCATGATGGTTTAAATGCTGTACTCTGGTAAAGATGTGCACACTTTGCTAAATTATCAGTTCTCTATTTAATCAATTCTTTGTATTCTCGCCGCTAGTAATGTTCGTGAGTCAACGATTCGCTAAAATGTGTCTTTCATGGTATTAAAGTAGCTTTAAATACAGTTAAAAAAAAAGTACTAAATCTTTAGCACTCCAGAACCAGATTTGAAGTACATGTACATTTCAAGTGTTTCTCTGTATCTGTGTTCTTTTCTTCTTTCATGAAAAGAATATTCTTAAAATTTTCTCCAAAAATCCTACCGGGTTAATACATGTATAATTATTACTGCTTATTTGAGAAACCAATTATTAGGAGAAATAAAAAAATACTGTGTGTGACATTTGACGAAAGCACATTGAATTTCATTGGTGGTTGTACATGAAGAACGTTTATTGTAATTAGGGTTTACAGATTGCTACTCTGATATGTTTTCATTCCTTGCTTACGGCCATGTTGAATACTTTGTAAGGGATCGTAGATAATTATTGACAGATAGATTATTATTTTTGTTATTTTCAAAAGCAATTAATTAATCCCAACTTGAATCACTCTATAATTACTTTTTTTCATGAAAGCTCATATTTTGATCATAATAGTTTTTCCACTTTGACATTTTTGCTTTTAGTACTCATTCTATTTTTGTTCTGATTTTCGCTTCATCCTTATTTTCTATTTTTTTGTTTAACTGTTTGAATCGCAAATTCAACTTCATAAATTACACCCATGCTCACTTTCAATATTATCAACCATTTTTTTCCACTTGGTTGAGAATTAACGGAAATTATATTAATATATTAAAAAATTTTTTAAAAAATACTGCTAAGATATCAGTTGTTTTTTCCCTTTACTGTTCATAGATACCCAAATGTATACTTTTCCAACTCTAACTATTGACGAAATATGGAAATAATGAAATTATTATTTTGTACTTCATACAAACAACTTTTCTGTCATCATAACTTCACTGATCTTTCAATTCGGCCAATTATGAGAGCCCCATGCTATAATCAGAGATCTGTAAATACACGCATCACGCTGTGTTCGTATCTACTGTCCCTAACAAGCAGGAAATTATTGAAAACCTATTTGTACTTGTACTGCTATCAACCAAATTATCCTCAAGTCTTTCTTTCAAATTTAAAAAAAAGAGGCTTGCAGAAAGTTATAATTCTGCTAAATTTAAAATTGGCACATACGACCTTGACAATGTAATTTACTTGTAATTATGTGGTACAAAAGATGCAATCTGAACCAGCAAAAAAACATTTACATAAATTGACTTTAATGACTTTAACAGTGTAATTAAATTCAACAATATTTTAATTATAACACAAATTGCAGTTTTCTATGTATATGACGACATGTGGTTTCCGAAGAATTAATATCCTATTGTTTTTACAAAAATTGAAGTGAAATTATATGCAGTGAAATGGTTAGTCAGTGCCAATATTTCTATAATGTGCAATTTAAGGGTGTTAGAATATACCCCATCATTTTATAACAATTTTATATCCCTCCCCTAATTTGCATAATTTTACAGATTATCATAATTACCAGAAGAAATATTAATATGTAGAACTGTAAATATTTTTACCAAACATCAAATTATATTTGCCTATTTATATCTGAGTACATCTCCTATGTATAAAAATTTACATATATTTTTAGACATTAGAATTTGCAGCATACAAACAATGAATGAAATATCACTTGGGGGGGTTCTAATAGGACAGGGAGTCACAGTGGAAGTTAATAAAATCTAACGGCGAAAATGTTATAGTATCTATCATAATTTAGAAAAAATTCTTGATCAAATTTTCTACTATAAAATGTTGAGCAACAAGTTTTGGACTTTGTTTGTAATGTGTTCTACATGTATATTGTGTATTTTTATAAATAACTATTTGTAGCCAATTTTATCTTAAAATTCCTACTTTAAAACGCACAGCATGCCTAAAAGTAATTTTCTACCAAAATAGGTTGTGACAAACACATGCTGTCTCAATATCTAGTGAATGAATCGTCAATAAATTCTTCGTTCCAATTATGACCCATTGCATCCATCCCTGCTACCCTGTAAGTGAAACAAGAACCTGCTAACATTGCATCCATCCTTGCTACCCTGTAAGTGAAACAAGAACCTGCTAACATTGCATCCATCCTTGCTACCCTGTAAGTGAAACAAGAACCTGCTAACATTGCATCCATCCTTGCTACCCTGTAAGTGAAACAAGAACCTGCTAACATTGCATCCATCCTTGCTACCCTGTAAGTGAAACAAGAACCTGCTAACATTGCATCCATCCCTGCTACCCTGTAAGTGAAACAAGAACCTGCTAACATTGCATCCATCCTTGCTACCCTGTAAGTGAAACAAGAACCTGCTAACATTGCATCCATCCTTGCTACCCTGTAAGTGAAACAAGAACCTGCTAACATTGCATCCATCCTTGCTACCCTGTAAGTGAAACAAGAACCGCTAACATTGCATCCATCCTTGCTACCCTGTAAGTGAAACAAGAACCGCTAACATTGCATCCATCCCTGCTACCCTGTAAGTGAAACAAGAACCGCTAACATTGCATCCATCCTTGCTACCCTGTAAGTGAAACAAACGCCCACTAATACAGTATATACTATCACTTGTTAAATTGCTTCCAGTCAAAAGATTTCAATATCTCTCGCAGTCACATGGTAACATTAAGATGCATATAAGCCAAGTTATATGATGCGGTTATTTGTCTTCACGGGTGATATCCATTGTGGCTAAAATTAAAATAGAAGAAAGTTGCTAGGACTAATAAATATAACAAACGTATATAGAAAATAGTAGTAGGTAATCATAGTCCCTGGTAATTATTAAATATAACCAGAGGTTTTGGACAAAATATCCTTTCTCATACTTATTTGTCCGGAATACATTGTTATATTAAATAATTACAGAGGACTGTGTTTACCTACTACAATTTTCTGTGGTTGAAAGTACACTTATAGTTTCACTCGTTCATTGAAACTGTTATTACGTGCAACACAACTTTTTGTGTATCATGTTTTTTTCAGATTTTCAGTGTTCATCTTATCTAACTCATTTAACACACAATGCACGACATATTGATGTTAACTATGGTCCTATTTACAGTACTATGTTGTTTCACATAGTCTCAAAGCGGAAGTAAAGCTCTGATGCAAGAATGGCATGACTTCAATGTCAAATATATAATTTTGAACACTATTTTAGCGTTTTAATAAATTTTTTTTCCTTTTTATTTGTTTCATGTGGTGTATAAAGCAAGTGTGAAATTTAAATGTTCCCTCTGCACCAACTGTGACTTTTTAAAAATCAAAACTATTTTATTACTAAACACCATTGTTTATTTTTGACCTTTTTCAGACTTTCCATACACCAAGCCTAGGTGATGAAGAGTTTGACATTCCTCCAATCACTCCGCCACAGATAGCAATGGAAGCAATGTCTACCAGTATGACCGACCCAAACACAGCACCAGCCTTAACAGAACCAATGACAAGCCCATCACCAACATTCACACATGACTCAAACCCAAAGTTTACCCAGGCTCATATCACAGAGACTGCAGATTCTTTACCGAACCCTGCAATGGAAACATTCCCTGATCCACAATTCCCACCACAGACAATTGATATTCCACCTATAACAGCCTCAAACTGTAGCTTGGGAATTGACACGGTACCTTGTGCAGTGCAATCGACGGGAGAACAGTCCTATAGTCATACTCTTCCCATGACAACGTTTGCTATGACAACACACCCAACCCCCTCGTACATCCACGATGTTCATATACCTCCACCACCGCAGCATGTACAGAGTCAAGTCAGTCAGTTGTCTACAATCAACCAATCAGCAATCAGCTCACATCTCGGTCTGCAAGTTGGAATGCGGCATGGGATACACATGGTTGATGGTCGGTTATCAAAGCACAGTCCATCGCCACCAACAACGTCCCCGATACCCCATGAAAGTAGTGAAGATAGTGATGATAACACTCCCCTTTCACAGGTATGTATCTCTACAATGGCTCTCACAAACAAAATTATACGCCAATGATTTTTTAGTCACAATCAGAAAAAAATTTTCTCATTTATTCTGATCTAGATCTGTACTTCGTAATACATTATGACAATTCCACACAGAAAGAAAATGCATATTAAAAAAAAAATTGGTGGGAAATATAATATTGCTCAAAAGGTTAAGTGTTGCTATAATAGTCTGCAAGCATAAGTGTAATTACAATCTGTATTTTTGACCTCTGTATATGCAGAGTGCTTTCACATGTACCGCCCCTAACCCCTGCATCCAGAAATCTGAGAGACACATTAGATAATATACAGTGAATGTAGATGTAATTGTCTATAGCTTGTAGTGTTAGCGCATCATGTCAAAAACAAGAAAAGTTGATAACTTGTGTCCAAATTAACTTGCAACAAAATATTTTGATAAAATTGTCAGCTTCTATAATTGGATGAAACAAATACATGTAATACACTGTAGGCTTAGAGCTTTATCGGAAGAAAATGTCTGCACTATGTTTTAGCTTCACTGTCTATTCATATCACTGATTGTCTGCCGGCTACATTTTCAACTTCTTCTTAAAAACCGTCGGCTGTATAGGTTTTTATAATCACTGCAAATGTACCTCGGGTGGTTCTCTTTCTCTCTCTGAGTGGTTCATTTTGTAAAGATACCTACTATTCTCTAATTTTAGTCAATATTTTTGTCAATTTTGGTAAAAATTGCTATTTTCGATCTAAAGCTCAGGTACATCGTTTAATTGCTCACATATATTCAAACATTTTCTAATAAAAGTTGGAAAATGACCTCCTACTTTAAATTTGACTGATGCTGAAAGCCAACATTGGTTTTAAATTGTGTGTATTTTATTGTTGTGTAAACAGGTTGTCGGCACTCTGAAACGAACGGCTGTTGAAGTGACGCCACCTCCGCCAAAGAAAAAGACACCAAAGAAAAAGAAAAAGAAGGACCCGAATGAGCCACAGAAGCCAGTATCTGCATATGCGTTGTTTTTTAGGGATACTCAGGCAGCCATCAAAGGACAGAATCCAAACGCTAGTTTTGGTGAAGTCTCAAAAATTGTGGCTTCGATGTGGGACAGCCTGGGTGTAGAACAGAAGCAAGTAAGAGCTATCTCCTGTTGTTGAAATCTGTTTTATTCTTACTTATTTTTTTTTTTTATTTACATTTTTTCGCCAAAAAAAATATCACGACTATCAGTTTTCATTTCTAAATGTATGTCAGTATTATGTTTTTCATATTTGAAGTTTGGCAGAAAATATCGGTAATCAGCCATATTTCAGGTGGCGATTTTGATTGTATGCAAATGATCAACAGTTTGACTGTTCTTTCTCTTTGTACATAGGTTTACAAGCAGAATACTGAGGCTGCTAAAAAAGAGTACTTAAAAAAACTAGCTGCCTACAGAGCTAGTCTTGTGTCAAAGGTTAGTAATTCACAGATGATATTGCTATGGCAACCAACTTTAGAGGGCTCATCAGTGTTAGATTTTAAAATATTATATGATGTGAATGTTGTCAAAACGTATTCAGGGCATTTAGGTCAACATTTTCTACATTTGCTTATTGAAAACAATAATCATGTTTACAAGAGTTTTTAGTTTATAATAAACGGTAGATTATGACTTTCCTCATAAAGAATAATTATTGCATTGACCAATTTTAATCTCATTCAGGAAATAAAGATCATTAAATTAAATGCAAATATTAAACATGTTTTACAGAGTTGGACTCATTTCACCAAGTTCAAACAAAATTGATCAAATAAATATTCAAAATAATCATTTCAAATAAGTTGAAGCGCAGTGCTGCATAGTACCAAGGTATGCAGGTATATTGGTAATTGCTCATCAAAGGTCATGCGACCACAAGTCAATCCTTTTATCTATGTTGTGTTTTATTTTAAGTCTTTTGTCTGGCATTTGATCTGGGATATGACATGTAGTAGCATTTCAATACATAATTTTGGTTGTTATAACTTTCTTTAAAATTAAAAACGTCAGACGCTGGCCGAGTCCTAGCAAACACTGATTAGGCCACATCAAACACTGGTCCAGTCCCAGCAAACACCAGAATTATTTTTTAAAAATCATTGCTAGTTAGGAAATTGATAGAATTTAAATTGATTATGATCTGCAGACTGTCTACCATATTTCTTTGAATATCCATGTAGTGATTGTATAAACTTACATGGAGGCAGAATAGATGCTGTAATAGAAAAACATTTATTTTAATCTGGATCAACATATGATGTAGCTATAAATGAAAACGTATGAAATACTTACACTCAAAATGAATATTAATGTCCTTTTTTTACCAATATTCATAATAATTTATTAAAGTGCCAGAGACATTAAATTGCGTTTTGAATAGCCTAACATTGAAAGGTTTGGTGGTTATTGTTGCAGCCATCTTTCATTAATGTATTACTGTATTATTAATATTAATAAATTGGCCATTCACCTCCATAATAAAATACTATATATAATTTTAGTTCATAATGTATATTATAATTTAATGGCACTCCCTATGTGTTGGCTCACTGCCAATTACAAGAATAATAATTGCTGAAACGAGTAAGACAGCTAAAATATTTAAAATATTGTTTTCACCGTTATTTACATTGAGATCAGTTATTAAAAATAATAATATACAATGTACATGGTATTCATTAATTCCAGTTAGAAATGACTAATACACAATAACATTAGTAAAGCACTATTCGTCATGTCACAGTGTGTTCGGTATGATTCTATGCGACTCACACAATGCATATCAAATACATAGTTCGTTTACACAAAGTGTGAACAGTCGCTGCATGAAGACTGCGGTGCTTTAAGATTTCATTGTTGTTGTTTACATATACTCTGCATAAAACATTTTTCATGGATTTTACTTTTTTCCGAACAATTCAGTTGTCTTGCAATAAACTGAACTGAGCATTATAAACATTTTGATTTTAATTCCAAATGTGATGTAGTCTTGCTGATTTCTATGACGATGAAATGTTGACAGCAATTTTCAATGCCTGTTTATTCATTCCTCATCATCTTTTGTGAAATTCTGTGGTTAGGATCATCACTCCCTAGGCAATATATTGAAATAAGAAATAATTGCAATGGAGGCTTGTATCATGCATGCATTTACAGAGGATTTTGCTTTATTTATCATTTTCTGAAAATATCTACACCAAGCTTTAATGATACAGGAAAGAACATCAGTTTTTAATATTTTGTAAGAAATGAATGAATAAGGATGTTTGCAGTTACTGTGTAACCTTAAGCTGTTTTTACAAATCTCCCATAATGCATTGTACTGCATGTGGTTTGGAAAATGTATAAAAATCACTAATTTTCTGTTTTTTAATCTTGCTGCAGGCTGCTGTGGACCAGGCAGAAACAGAAGATGTGTCAAGTCACAAACAGAAAAAGATGACAGTGACCAGTAACACACTCACCAGTGCCAACACAACTACTACAATGATTCAGTCAATACCACGAATCATTGCGCCAAAACCAACCCCAACAGCTTCCATGCCCATAACTGTTACCATGACGACAGTTGCCAGGTCAGCTTCTCAACAACCTGTTGTTCAAACCATTATCACCAATCCAAAACTTCAGCCTCATATGGTAAGACCGATTTGATTTCTTTGAAAATATAATTTTCAGTTACTGTGAAACGATATTTCTTTTTAAAAAAAAGCATATTTTCACAATTAGATTGTTGGCAGCTAAATTAAAATTCTGTATATTGTGCATTGAGCAAAATTCGCTATTTAAAAATGCTCATATTTCATAAAACACCATGTTAAGTGAATACTGCTTTGATAAATGTGCAGGAATGCTATTACTTTGTACGTTTTGCGACTACCAATATAATCACATGTGAACTCTGTGAGCAAAATGAAATTTGATGAGGTATTACATGTACAACAGTTTTGGAGAAAGCACACTTGCAACTGACATATCATTGGTCATAATTACTCTTCTTAGGTTCACACAAATGAGCGTAAAAGGTCAGCGACCTGCATGAGGGTTGGTTGTGAGAATCCCGCTGTGGAGAGTCCTGATTGGGATAAAGAATATTGCAGTAATGAGTGTGTTGTCAGTCACTGCAGGTGAGTTTTTAACCCACTTATTGAACCCTTGCTTTGCTGGCAACTCAATGAATCCTCAGCATAAGTTATTGGGTGTTTTCATAACTTGTAGCCATTTTCTAGATGTCAATTATTTCAGTCCAAATGTAAATTTTTGCACTATTTCTTTTTCTTTCCTCCCCTAAGATGTTTCCGATGCTCAGCAAGGTAAGGGTTGGATTCTTTCCCCTATCTACCCCTGTAAAAGTGTTGTTTATTTAATGTTTTGCTTGTTGTGCTTTTCATTCCTGTATGTGTCCCTTGCCTACTTGCCAAACTCCTGCTACTCAAGAAAACAATGAAGGCCTGAGATCTGTTTTGGGTTCTCTCTCACTTCCACTGATGTTCTGTGTTGTTGTTGTTGTTAACCACACCCAATGAAGCATTTTGTTGTTGGTATCATATACCCATACCTGATGTATCTCCTTGTTGGGATCTGTAATTCCATCCCCACAAATCCCTTCATTGTTGGCAACCCTATCCATTCCCACTGAAGGCATTTGTTGTTGGTACCCCTATCCAGACCCACTGACTCCCTCTGTTGTTTGTAACCCTATCCAGACCCACTGACTCCCTCTGTTGTTGGTAACCCTATCCAGACCCACTGACTCCCTTTGTTGTTGATACCCCTATCCAGACCCACTGACTCCCTTTGTTGTTGATACCCCTATCCAGAGCCACTGACTCCGGTACCCCTATCCAGAGCCACTGACTCCGGTACCCCTATCCAGACCCACTGACTCCCTTTGTTGTTGGTAATCCTATCCAGACCCACTGAATTCCTTTGTTGTTGGTACCTCTATTCTTCCTAAGCTGACTTGTTGACAAACTCTGGAATAGTCCAGAATTTAAACTTGTTTTTCATTCTATATGTTGCTCTGCTCTTTAAGCAGAAGATATATTTCACATTAACTTTAATAAAGATTTATTTACTCACTCCTGATAACACGATTTGCAATCTATGTCAATGATGTAACATCTAATATTGCCAAGGACAGAACATTAATGTCCATTCATCAAGTCTTGTGCAGACGTGACTGAAGGTGACGTTAAATGATATATGAAATATGACATGTGTCGTTGGATATTAATTTTAATCATGTAGCGTGTAATTTAATGGCTTGGTGTGACATCATCAGAACGGACAACGTATTTTACTCCATTACCACTCAATAACCTATGATATTTGGTACATAGCCGATAGGCATAATCCACAAGCTAATGTCAAAGTAACTACACAAAGTGTTAAAGTAATTACACAGGAGTACCTCTCACAGCATTACGATCGTTATTGCATTTAAATCCATTTGTGCCTGCAATTACTGATGAAGGACCCAGCTGAACAGGAGCTGTTCGAAAACAAATGAGATCTGATGTCCAAATTGACAATTAAAGTCACTGACAGCGCTGTACAGTCAAACTGATCATTAATGTTATCAGGTTTCCATCGGTAAATTAACTGATAGTGTGTAATAGCCGTTGCCATATGATTACATGCATGTTACACCCTACATGTATATCTGTTAGGTTAAACACTGTTCAATGTACAGCAGGAAAGAAAACATGTTCTCAATAAGCCAGACTGTCAATCAGCAAATGTACCAATTTTGGCTTACCTGGTTAGGTTATATATTTGTATCAGGAAATAAGTTCAATATTATAGCTCGAGAGAATTTTTTAAAAATCTGACTGGTGCAACAGCGCCCTCAACATCATCTGTAGGAGAGTTGAAGGCACTGTTACCCCCATTATGTTTTTTGATGGGAGTAGCTTTCATTTGGGTCTGTGCGGTTTTCAGTATTTGACACTTATTGTTGTGTATCTCATTTCATTTTGATGTTCTTGGTTTTTTTTAATTTTTTATATTTTGCTTTCTTCTAGAGATGTTTTCACTGCCTGGGTTGCATCGCGGAATCCAAACATATTCCCATCAGTCAAGTAAAAGAAAAGAAGATTCCGTTTTTGTTTTTTTTAGATTATAGAATATTTTTATTTTTTTCCTTTATAAAAGAATATACTATCTAGTCATGTTCTATGTGTTTTTATTTATATAAATCATGGTATTTAATCCTCTTTGGCACATGTCTTAGACAAGAATCAAGGAGGACGTAGTCCTTATCCTGACCCAGGCTAAATTGCTTAATTTATCATGGTACAATGTAGCAAGTACCATGTACAGAATAATTCTATTTATTATTAAAAATGTTTTTGTGGACGCCGCTTCACTGCCTTGCTTAATAAAAGTGTGTGTAACGTCAGTGACACAGACGGCCATTATGTTTCCTGTACATGTACATATATTTGACATATCTTCAAATATTTTGAAGTAAATTTATTGTTCATCTTGTAGGAGTTCATCAATGTTGTCTTATGTCTACTTTTTTTTTCTTAAAAGTTAAATATTTATCTTCAGAGAAAACATTTACTCTGGTATAGGAAATGTAATGGCCATCTGTATAATACATGCAGGTACCTGCAGAAAATGCTGGAGTTTCTTTGGTTGCTGTGCTCTGTTGAGTATGTGATAATGATGCATTCGGGGAATGAGTTGAAAAGAGTGTTTCCTTTAAGCCTCTTTTGGAGGCAACTTACTCAGTGAGGTCACCGAGTAAAAGTCTGGTATTAACATTAACCAAATTAATATTTATATTAAGAAAAGTTGCTTAGAGGGAACAATGGAGAAATTTGGTTGCATGTCCTTGGATATGCTTAGTTTTTTCTTGACCCAAACTGTTTCCTCAAGTTTACATCAGGGTGTTTATTTTATGTTTTCTATGTTTGTCATATTTGATGGTTATGAATATTCATTGATGCTGCATATCCAGTTGACTTTCAGTTTGCCAGTTGATTTTTCATTTACTTTTGAAATGCATAGATTCACTATAATTAGCCATGTTTCCAAATGCTAGTGACTCGCTGTAGTTATTTTAACTGTTGTATATTTCGCACATGTACATACCATCAAATATTCGAAAACATCAATAAACCACACAGTATCTTCTCAGAGTGTGACTGTAATCTTAGTATTCAACTGTATTACATCCTTCAAGCAGAGAAAGTCAAATACTGTTTAGTATCTTGGCATCCAGAGATCTCACGACTCTGCAATGGTCCTGTATATTTCATTAGATATTTTCTTTCGTTCCAGCCACCCAGTTTGTGCAACACTACATTATTATTTGCATAACAATGGATGTAAATAGTACACCAACGTCAATAAACGCTTGTCATGTACAAATTACTGCCGACTTACAGTTCTGCCTCAAAATGGAAATTCTGGTTTTTTATATAGCCATGTTACAACTGCATGCGCATCTTGGCATTATGTTCACTTTTAAGGCTGTTCCTATAGCAACAAATTGATATCAGTAATTTTAATGAATCTTTCACTTATGATTTTCAACGAACACCAAAATCAGGAATTCGTTTTGAGGCACTGCAAATTGGTCATTTTATCACAAATGTGTTGCTGAATCACGGTAATTTGAAAACCAAATGAAAGATAAATTGTTTTCATGGTAAATATTGATCAGATCTTGTGGCCAACAATTATGTTTCGTCTAATCGATTTTGTAGACCCATTCATTTATAGTCTTGTCTCATCACCTGGACATTGCCACCCTTAAAAAAAAAATCAAAAATTATAAATGTACAGTGATTTAAAACCACAGATGTGTATTTTTGTGTATTTTCAGAAAACCAAGTCATCATTTTTTTTCTTGTGTCGCATTATTTAGCAATAAAGACAGGACAAAAAGATTTCTCAAGGTTTTGGGTATTTTTTGAGTCCCATGAATGAGTGTCTTTTGGAATTAGCATGCATGCCTGTGTATTTGCTTTTCTATATAATAGTAGCGTTCATGTACAGCCTGTGCTAAAAAAAAGGTGTCTGAAAGCTTAGGAATGCTAAGCACAGATTAAATCTGGCCCGTTTTTAAGTCCTGGTCCAGATCCTTAGCACGGGCTAACAAAGTGTGTGTGAACGCTTAACTTAAAGTGACCAAAACACTATTGTATTCAATGTTTATTTGGAATATTTACATGACATTTAACACAAGTACATCTAGAGATATTGTTGTCGAGAAATAACCAACAATGAGACACTGCTGCTTCCTGTTTTCTGCAATCTGCACTTTCTGAATTTGCTTTTGGTATTTAAAACCATGGAACTAACATGTATAGCTTACTAGTTACTTACAATAACTGAAGATTTTTGTATATTCTTAACAAGTTCGGCATTCCTTAGCCCGTGCTAACCACTTTCTTACCCTGTGCATGAATACAAATGGATCTATCCAATATGCAAACATACAAGTTTAGCTTAAATCTGAGCCTGTACTTGGTGTAGCGTGAACACTACTACTTTATTAAACTTTATTAATTAAACAGATGTATACCATTCTTTGAGCACACATACACAACGTCTGAAGATGTTCTTATAGTGCTCAGAAAACATTTATATTTAAGTGTTTGTCTTTATTCACATCTGTATTGCATTTTAGTCAATAAAGTGCAATAAAGATAATTATTATTTAAGTTAATTCAACTTAAATGCAAGTTTGCCAAGCTTAGGGCATGGTCAGTTAGTATCTACCATGCTCAGGGTTAGTACTGTTTATATGAAAATTGCAGAAAAATTTGCGTAAAGCCGTCTTCAAACCCCCAACTCGCTCAATAATTTGAGTATGCCTGTTCAAATAAATAGTGTTCTAAGGGGTATGCATAATTGTACTGGAGGGGGAAGATTAGCATTAAAGTTGTAGGCAAGGAGCCACAAGAAATTCTTACCCAAATTACTTGCACAACCTGCCCACCTCCACAATTTCACAATCGTCAGTACCAGGTCTGATGAAAAGCAGCATACTAAAATTGCATAATGTTCTACCCATGATGCCTGGTGTTGCTAAGCAACTAAGGGCGAGAACATGACAATTAAACCCATATCTGGCAGTGACTGCATTACTGTAACATCTTATTGGCTGTGTTATCACATGTGTATGTTTTATTGATTCTATTAGCATCAAAATATTGTAACTTACTGTTGCAAATAACATATTTGCCATTATTTATCCAGTCTTTATCTAAAATTCATAAAGGTAATGTCTAATGTACATCAATCACAGACTATTAATTAGGCACTGTCGCCAGCAAGACCAAATTCAGTACAGCAAGTGTAAATTTATTGTTAGTAATCAAAAATGACTAACATTAATAAGTTGATATCAGTGAAATAATAAAGGAAATATTAAAATTTATTGAAAATTACACAACTGAAATGAAGTTAGTTTTTCAAATTGTGTGTTCAAAATGCAGTGTATGTTTATTTGTATTAAGAATATTTAATACCACAAAGATATATGTTCAATATTTAAAAAAAATTTAAATATCGCTTTTGAATACATGCATTAAATGTTCATTTGGATCAAAAAAACATTCTCTGAAACAGAAAACGAACATTTCTACCATATGTGGCACACATAAGATATATGTGCAAGACACAGATCTCAAACTTACATGCACTATGAGAAGCAAAACCTACTGGGTGGCCTATGGTATTCATGAGAATACTGCAAAATATGCATGGGCATCGATTATTATGGCAGTGTCCATATAGTAACCTCATATTATACGTTTATCCATCTTTTGCTTTTTAATGTCATTAAGACTGACTGCCATATTGACAAACCATTTTATGATATAAACTACAAGGTATCCTCAATGCAGCACATTCAAAGTAGAGTTGATCATTCAGCATGGGTGTTATAGCAATTTTCCATCCTCCCCAACCATTTTCATCCATGAAACGTACACACTGATAAGTATGTCCAGTATCCAAATGTCCAATTACATAGATGTTACCCTGGATGTGTACTACACCATTTAATCCTTGAAAGAATAAAAAGAAAAAACAGTAATATTAGACTTTTGATAACTGATTTTAAACATAGTTAAACCATAAACACCTTGCCCATGATTGCCAGTGAACTATATAGTGAAGTAAAGGATGTGTTAATAAAACAAACATGAAATTGATGCTGGAACTGAAATGTGTAGAGTCAATCGTTGACAACAAAATGGCCACCAGTCAACCATTTTGAATTTCATCTGAAAATGCAATTGGAGTAGCGGTTTTTAAAAAGAAGTCAACAGTAACATTTTTGAAAAAAATGACAAAAATACTTGCTCAAAATAGAGAATTGAAGATATTGTCATGAAATGAACAACACAGACAGAGATCCACCAAGGTTGTTTCAAAAAAGAATTCAAAATAGCTTTTTTTTTGCCAAAATGACAAAAATATTTGCTAAAAATATAGAATTGAAGATATCGCCACGAAATGGTCAAATCTGACAGAGGTCCACCCAAGGTACCTAAAAACAAGTATCAAAGCAATTGAGCTAGTAGTTTTCAAGAAGAAGTTGAAAATAGCATTTTTTACCAAAAATTACAAAAATATTTTTTTAAATAGAGAATTGAAGATATGGAACAAATCTGAAGCAATTGAGCTAGTGGTTTTCAAGAAGAAGTTGGAAATGCAATTGTTGACGGACGACAGTCAATCACCAATATGAACACCTTCACTCTGTCATATACACAATATAGTATACGTATATACATGCTTCCAGTTTTGTTGGGAATAACTACATTCATTATGTTCCTTTTACTCAATATCAGTAAACTACATCACTGGATCGATCCAAATGACGATGACTTACAGAACAATGTGGTCATCAGCAATTATTTTGTAAAATTAATCATCTTCTTTTTTAGTTAATATTAATAAATGTACTGTATTAATCCCATTGTTCCTTATAAAACAAAACATAAATTAGATGAAACTTTCAAAATAGTACAACAGTCTTAGTCACATTACGGGGAGTGTACTTGCACAATTTTGGTGAAAAATATTTGTCAGAGTTGGCTAAAAACAATGATTTGTACAGCATACTGAAAAGAAGACTGGATGTTATCTGACAAATTTGATGATGCAACTTTGTTAAAAATGGAGCTAACTAAGAACACAATAGCCTCTTGTCGGCTATCTTGACTCAGATGTCAAATAAATTATAACAATTTTTCCTAATATCACCCAATATATTTGTAAACATGCCATGTTTTGAGTGAAATTGACCCAGTCATCTTCAAGGTACATTTTACTGCCAATTAATAATCTTGAATCTGATATTACCGATGATAAAATTAATAATGTGCAATATGTAATGTCATCATGTCACATTGAATTAAGATCAGCACTCATCTCCGAGAAATGGTTGTGAATTTATTACAATTTATGTATTAGAATTTAGCCCTATTTTATTGCCAAAATGGCCACCAGTCAGCCACATTTGATTAAATCAAAAACAAAATTGACATGTTTATTTATAAATCATCAAGTGTGTTCATCTTAATTCTGATGAAAATCAGTCACTACATGTCCAAGAAATGACTACAGACAGATAGATGAACCAAAATTAAGTCTACTTCATCCAAACAACAAAGTAAGGCCCTACATGTAAAATATAACAGTCAGACTCATGAACCCTTAGGTTGAGAATAATAATAATATAACCACACATCTTGGTGGAAAAAGAATGAAATTACCTGAGCTAGTAGTCATCGTGCACATTCCATCATTTGGAAGAGTTTCCCAGCCATGTCTTTCAGTATTGTACACTTCACTGTGACAAAATTTCAAATCATTCTGAGCGCTCGGACAGAGTAAATTCCGATAGCCACCAAACACATAGATCCTATCATACACACCAAGCGCAAAGGCTTGAAAACGGCGTTCTTTCAGAGGGGCAATAATACTCCATGTCTGTGACAATGGATCAAAACATTCCACAGTATCAACAGGCTGAATAGGCTGGCCACCGCTATCACCTCCGATAACATAAATCTTTTTTTGCATGGTGGTATATGCAGCCTTTCTTCTTGTAATCTGCATGGGAGGCTTCATTTCCCATGTGTCATTGTATATGTTGTATGCCTCCATTGTCTTTATGTTTTCATCTTCACAACCACCAATAGCATAAATATGGTTGTCAATGGTTACCAAACCAAACACATGACGTTTTTGTAGCATGGGTGTAATGGCTGACCAAGAGTTTGTTTGTGGGTCATACTTTTCTCCAGTGTCAAGTGGTTTTCCAAACACGTCTGTTCCACCAATCACAAATAAAAAGCCTCCTATAAAAAAATTGAAACAAAATATACATGCTTTTTTACTCCATGGTTCAATTATTCTTGTAACACCAAAACACAGCAAGCTGTAGATTTTCAAGACACACTTGAAGTTATCATTTTTCATGAAAAAAATAAAAACGAGATAATTAGAGATACCATATTGAGTAACAAAATCTGATGAAGCTTGGTCACATTTTAAGGCACATATATGGTATGAAGATGGACAATAATGAAAACCACACACTTGTATTCATATGGAGATGGTAAACCACACACTTGTATTCATATGAAGATTGTAAAACACACACATGCATTCATATGGAGATTTTATACCACACACATGCATTCATATTGGGTTTGTAAACCACATATTTGTATTCATATGGAGTTGTTAAAACACACACATGGATTCATATGGAGATTTTAAACCACACACATGCATTCATATGGAGATTTTAAACCACACACGCATTCATATTGGGATTGTAATCCACACACATGCATTCATATTGGGTTTGTAAACCACATACTTGTATTCATATGGAGTTGATAAAACACACACATGCATTCATATGGAGATTGTAAACCACACATGCATTCATATTGGGATTGTAATCCACACACATGCATTCATATGGAGATTGTAAACCACATATTATAAATATAAAGGCTGTAAACCACATACCTGTTTCCATATGGAGATTTTAAACCATGTACACACATGCATTCATATTGGGATTGTGAACCACATACTAGTATTCATATTGAGATTGTAAACCACACATTATAAATATAAAGACTGTAAACCACATACCTGTTTCCATATGGAGATTTTAAACCATGTACACACATGCATTCATATTGGGATTGTGAACCACATACTAGTATTCATATTGAGATTGTAAACCACACATTATAAATATAAAGACTGTAAACCACATACCTGTTTCCATATGGAGATTTTAAACCATGTACACACATGCATTCATATTGGGATTGTGAACCACATACTAGTATTCATATTGAGATTGTAAACCACACATTATATATAAAGACTGTAAACCACATACTTCATATAGAGATTGTAAACCACATATTATATATAAAGACTGTAAACCACATACTTCATATAGAGATTGTAAACCACATACTTGTATTCATATAGAGATTGTAAACCACATACTTCATATAGAGATTGTAAATCATTATTAATTACATCTTGTAGACATATGTGTTACTCACCTGCAGAGACAACTGAGTGTAACACTCTTCCCGTTGACATTGCAGGAAAGTCTAACCATTGGGGTTGGTTCGTGTATGGGACTGCACATCGCACCGTGGATAACAACTCTACATTACTGTAATTTACAACATAAATAACTGACTGATTTTCAAGACACACTTGAAGTTAGCATTTTTTATGAAAAAATATCAAAATGAGATAACTAAAGATACCAACTTGAGTAACAAAATCTAATGAAGCTTGGCCACATTTTTCAGGCACATATATGATATGGGGATGGAGATTAATGAAAACCACACACTTGTACATGTATTCATATGGAGATTTTAAACTATACACTTGTAGTAAATTAGTCACTTGTGTTTCACTCATTGGTTGAACCCTGTTTATCAGTGCGAAAAATCTTACATAGCAGAGTGATACGTCAGTCAACAGTCAAAAAATACTTGGATTCATAGCTATGGTCATGGTCTTTTCATGCAATTTCCTCTTCTCAGAAAACATCAGACCTTATATCAAAGCTATTATAGCTCAAGCATACCAATACACACAGAGTTATTAGTAATAAACCCAATACCACAAACATTATACTCACTTTCGTGCCTGTCCACCAACAGCCACTATAGCATCAAAATATCCCCTCACTTTCAGTGTCCGTGTCGTAAGTTTATCACAATACATTTGATCAATCATTTTCTTACAGCTAGGATTCTTTGCAATCAAATCGTCCTTTATAACGTATTGTGCATAATAACTGGGGCTGACAAGATGAAATCGAACACATGTGAGCAGGTCTATCATGTGAGGACTTCGCTTTGTCAGGTCATGCCTAACCCAACTCATAACTGCTTCAAAGATGACCTCTTCTCCTTTCCTTGAAAGTGTCTGTTAAACAAAATAAAATATAAACTGAGCAATAAGGTCAAAAAATTATATGTTTCTGGTCCTTAGATAAAATGGTGCAGTCATGCATTTACCTTTCTAACTGATGTGTGTACTGACCAGAGAGAAATCTATTTTTGTTATTGCTTAAGCAGCACTTTCATCAGAACTTTACATATGCAGAAGAAGGACAGACACAACAACAAATGTATGCATATTGATAGGGACCATTTTTAGAGATCTACCAGTTGCATATTTACAGACGAACAATTATCAAGTATATGCGTCATGCTTGGTCTGCATAGTTAAAAGTATGTTGTGATGATAAACTATAAAGTTACCGAAATGAGCCAAGTTTATGTTTTGAACATCATAGTGTACCTTTGCAGTTTTGATGATAGTGTCACTTTAATATAAAGTCAATGTTCATGATTTGCAAAACATGAATAAATAGAGCCTTATGCAATTTTATATTTATAGTTTAGTTCATGAATATATGTTTTGCGAATAGAGCTTACATTAATAACAGGATATTTTTCTCATCCAGTAAACATTTCATGTTTAAAATACAATGAAATGAATGAGTAATTACATGAGTCCCCATAAAGCAAGGCTGACTTGAGTCATGCCAGTGCACAAACTAGTCGTAAACTGGCGTGAAGTGTGGGTAAACCCCATCATGACTGCATGCCATGTTCCAAATTTTGGTCACGACAAAATTTAGAAACCGGGTCGTGAACTATGCACAAACTGTTTGAGAACTTTTTGTGAACTCGTCGGGAGGATGCATGACAGTGCCATGCCACGACTGTCACAAACTGCAATGAATAGTTCACGAACAGCTCACGTCAAGTTCACGACATGTTTACAAATTGGTGTGCGTCGCAGCATGGCCTTGCCTTCCCACTGACATGGTCACGTGTACCTCACGCATTGATGGCACGAGCAGTTCAAGACGATTTCATGAGCAGTTCACAACTACTGCACGACAGTGGTGTTCCTGGACACTGCTCGCCATTCCAGAGATTGCCAGCAAAGAGACAACTTATATCACAGGTATAGGCATCTTCTCTTCCCTGCAATGATTGTCTCTCTTGCATTCAGCATGTTGTCTCTTCCACAGCCAATCCAATAATAAGGAGGCCCCCTTTTTATATGGCGTGCCCAAGTCGGGACGACACTGTTCGAATTGCGCAAACTCGTCATGCCAATGTGGGACATGCATAAACTATGCGTGAACTAGTCATGAACAGTGTCTTGCTTAAGTTTAAGAGAAGAATAAACTTTAGATCACGGCAAGTCACAGATATGGCTCTGGAACAGCAGTGATTAAAACAAAATGGCCACCTGTCAACAAAATGCCATGCATCAAGGTCTCATAATGTTCATTGTATGTACCAAGATGGCCAAAATCTGGATCTAGATTTATCAGAAATTGGCCATCATTCGGCCATCATGAATCAAATTGTCAGAGATATGACAAGGTCGATGTATATACCAAGAGATCTGGTTCCAGTACGACAGAAATGCTTGATTTTTAATGATTTTTACATGAAGTAGCTGACTATGAAATTCCAGTCATGTGAATGAATATTGTGATTCTCTCAAAGTTATTCTATGACTCAGCTATAAAAAACACCCTCACAAAGACAATATTATTAGTTCCTCAGGACACTCTGTATCAAATGTAAACATTGATAATATAATGGATTTACCTGCAACTGATCCCTAGATAAGATTTCTTTCACCTTTTCCAATGGTTGTTGTAAAAATTCTTCATTACGACACACTTCTAAAAAATTGGTTTCCATGCACTCTGTTGCTAAGTAGTGAATATGCTGGCAATAGTAGCGTTCAGTAAAGTTTCTTATCCCAATACAGTTTTCTGGGCTGATGCATTTTTCTGAAATTGGAAGTTATGTACAAGATGGCTTCTATATTATAATATTTATTCCGATTTAAATATGAAAACTATTTGGATAAAATCAAAAATAGAAAAAAAAAAAGAATTTTGAGTTTCTGTCACAAATAC